CCCTATTAAGGGCATCTTTGTAATATCTCATACTTAAGTTAAATATAAATAGAATGAGGGGCTGGTGGCTAGGGTTATCTATCACAATCCTAGTTGACCTTCTTCTCATTTTCTTCCCTTTTCTCTTTCTATTGCTGAAATCTACAACTTTCTCCTCTTCCTTTCACAAGAAGCTTGACCGAATCAGCATATAAGGGTTTCTACTAGATCAGTAATGAGATCAGTGAACTTTGTTAGATCTGGGAAACAAATAAATACAAAGAGAGCTCCTTCCATAAAAAGGGGGAGTACAGACTTTATACAATACTACTACCTTACCAAAGACTAAGTATTTTGTTTTTGTCATGAACCTCTTCCTGAAAGAGCACCATTTCTGATGGGTGTAGCAGGAAGATAGAATGAATTACATCAGAGAGTTGAAGAATGACCAACTTAAATGGTGTATGGAAATGAATTATTTGTGAAAACTATAAAATATTGGAATTCATGGTTCAGTGTGTTTTTCCTTTCATTCAACCTACTACAACAATAGAAAAGAAAAATATGACATGATGTAAACATGGAAGATAAATGGTCAAAAAGTACCAACACCCCAGTGGCACTAGGCCAGCACCTTATTTCTGATTTAATTTCTAAATGGCATTTCCTGAAGACTAGCTGCTGTACCAGGACCAATTTCAATTCCTTATTGTTTTTGTTCTTTTTAGGAGTGGGGTCTCATAAACTTTCACTGCGTACCAGCGCTATATTATCATTCGCAAAATAATACTGCGTTGAAATTATTGATAAAAAAAATCCTGTGTTGAAATCCCGTAAGTGCATTCTGAAATGCAACCTTATAAAAAAAAAGACTATTATTTCCTGAGTGCTTTGAAATATTAGAAATTTCAACTTGCTAATGCTATTACAGAAACGACGGGAGGAGATGGAGAGGCTTGAAAAGGAGAGGCAAGCGGAGATAAGGAGCTACAAGGGCCTGATGGTTTCTGAAAAGATGACCTCCAACAAACAGATTGCTGCAGCAAACAAATCGTTGCAAGAACTGGAAGAAGATTTCATGTGAGAGAAGCACCAAATAGATGCAAATGGTTCAGAAGATATTCAAAGAAGGGCTTCAATTTATCAAACATCACGGGCTTATTTCTGGAACGAGGAAATGTTTCAGAAACTTGAGATTGAGATGTATGCTAATTTTAGTTTCTGGAAGAGATTTCTGCCCATCTCATTGATGAAACAATGGCATTCACCTTGGCATCCAACCTCTTTCTTCTCTGACTGACATGTTCATGAGAAAGTGGAATTTGCCACATCTCTAGAAGACGAACTTTAAATATGTTATTTGCTGCTTGATCTGTGTAATTCACACTTAAATAATGATAAATATGGTATGGAATATCGATCTTTATATACTCGTGCTGCAACATCTTTTGGCTGTGAAGGAATACTGCGAACTAGAAGCGGGGGAAAATCTGTCGGTTTTTCCTGCAAATGTTGATATATGTAACCAACCCCGTTTAGATGTGATAAAGCTTTGTTTAAGTTAGGCATCTTCAGAGAACTTAACTAATGTTTTCCATTCACTTTATTCCCTTGTATGTTTAGACAGTTTTGTATTTAATTAATTTGGTATCTAGACAGTGGGATTTGAAATTTGTATATTTAGTCGGGTTTGATTATAGGGAGAATGACGGTTCAGCCCAGGGTCAGAATTTTTAGTACAATTGGGTAGGTATCAGTTCGGAATTGATGCTAATTTACGGCGGGCCTCGATATCTAATTTACAGGTTGAATATTTCAACCTTTCCGTACTTGTCCGTTGATTATAATGCCGGAAAACCATGATATCTAAGACTTGCAACCAACCAAGCAGTGGTTGGGATTTGGTCAATATTCAACAATGATAAAGGTGCATGCATTCAACAAAGTTGTCAGTCGGGAGCTCCAGCAGCTTCAAAAAGGAAAATTTCCCACCTCTAGAAAGGAAGAGCCAGTGGTTGGGATTTGGAAACATCAAGATAATCGGACAGTCCCGGCTCCCCACAAGGTCATCGATTATCTGGGATATAAAAGAATGGTAAATCACTTGCTTTGGATGCCCATGTTCATCTTGGGGTTGGCATGCATTCCAAACCTGTACCAAGTCTCTGAGAGCAACAGTTTGTGTTATTAAAGAAATTAGGTTTATCAATTTTCTTATGCACAACCAATAATCATATAAAATTATCAAAAAACCAAAAATCATATTTAGAACCGAGAGAGATGTCCAGAAGATAGCAATTTCCTTCCCCCCTCCTGGAGGCAACAAACCCAACTCAAGCCCTAGCGGCCTAGCCCCCTATTAAACACAACCAAACTACAGGTGTTAATATAAGGTTGTTTAGAAAGTGGGCCTCCAGGTTTCCGAGCACAAGGTCCGCCATATCCTTACATGTTTCCACTGCCAGTGCCACTTCCCACATGGGGAAGGAAAACCACATTTTCAAGCCCAAACAATCGTTCTGGTACCTGAGATTCATGCTCAAATACATCAAGTCCAGCCTCAGCCAACCGGCCTTCAACCCGTGCAGCAGTGGACCGCGCCCAATGTTTATAATGACACCGTGGATAATACTTGTAGTGCCCCGTTTGGGTGACTTTCAGTTTCAGGACGTGGCTTCTCATTCCCTCTCTTCCTCTCTCCCTCTATCTTCTTTTCTCCTCCCTCCCGAGCTCCACCGCCTCTTCACAGCACCGATATACAGCCCGAATCTCACCGCCATCGGAAGCGACTTTACAACCACCGCCGCTGCAACCCTCACATCCCCTCTCTCTTCACTTCTCCTCTCTCAACCGTTGGAGACGGCAAGGCTCCATTGTACGTGCATGTTTGATGAATTAATAACCCAAACCACATCACGAAGCTCATGAATTTATTCAAAGATTGAGTGGTGGACACAAATATTATCAGCAGTTTATACACATCTGCAAAATTGTATTATAGTGCTCAACAAAAAAACTTTTGGGGATGAAACATTCCATTTTGATGTAGAAGGGTCATGGCTTATAATATGTTTTGCTAATTGCTGATGGAATCCTGGCGAAATGTTTCTTTGCTTCTAACACTCCTATTAAGTTTGAGGGAATCAGGATGCTTCACTGATGCTTTGCCCATATGGCTGCGGAATTGGGTTTATCTGAACTCTGTTTCTTTTTCTTTTTCTCTGCAATCCTCTTATTACCACCCAAAAAAAAAACTCCTTTTAGGTAACTAGCATCCTTAATTTCTCGGGCAATATTCCACCCTTTAATCTGGTTTTAAGGCAGGAGGTAATGCCAAGTGAATGGTGGTGCCGTCCTCAAGAGGGTGGCTTTTCTTTGGTACCCAATGCATCGACACAACTCATCGCACCACTCGGATGGTCTGGTCAGTTTTGGGCTCGCACCAAATGTAACATTGACGACACGGGAAACGGTAAGTGCATCACCGGAGACTGCGATGGACTAAAGTGTGCGGGCGGTGATTGTTATGGGCCCGCGTGTAGGATCTCGTCACGGGTCAGTCCACGGGGAGAAAGCCCTGCTTTCCCTTGCGTGTAGACCCTATTGCGGAAACTGAATGGGTGATTTGTCCAAGAGACCACCCGAACTCTCCGAATGGGTGATTTGTCCAAGAGACCACCTGAACTCTCCTCACTCTTCTTTCTTGATTGGAAAACTGAATGCCTTTACTTCAATTCGTAGCTCCTTAAATAGGAGATTACAGAGGGAAATTCCTTGTTGGATTCGGCTAGGCTAGGGTAATCCAACTCAAACTAAAACTCCTAATTACCTACTCCTAATGATAACACAACTCTTACTTAAGAAGATAAAATAAGATAAGGATAAGGGATAAGGGATAAGGGATAAGGAATAGTGAAGCTGGTGGCGAGTTGGTGAGCAGAGCTGATGTGGTAGGATAAGTGTGGACCCACCTTGATGAGCTGTCATGTGGGCCCCGCCCTACTGCTGCGGCCGGGCGGTGCGGGCATCTCGCAGTGCTGCTACCGTGCGGTGCGTGCTGCTGTCGAGCGGTGCGTGCTGCGCGCTGTCGGGCGGTGCATGCTGCTGTGCGGCGCTGCCGGGCGGTGCGTGCTGCTGCCTATGACTGCGCCGCAGTGCACTGCCGGTTGGTGTGTCCATAACATCACACCCCTCCTGGACAACGAGCTTGTCCTCAAGCTCGAATTCCGGATACGTGGCTTGGAACTCTGCCAATGGATCAAATGGCTGCACACTATCTCTCAGTCCACCAACGACATGAACAACAGGGACTGCCCCGTAGCTCAGTGCATAAAGCTGGTTCAGTCCACATGGCTCAAATCTAGAAGGCATGAGGAGGATGTCTGCACCAGCAGTTATTCGATGGGCCATTTTCACAGAGAAACCAACCCAACCCCTGGCTTTGTCATGGTGTTGACGCTCAGAATGTTTGAGAAGCTGTTCCCGGTCAGGTCTCCCAGTGACCAACATGACTAGTTGCACATCCTGGTCCACCATCCAAGGAATGGACTCAGCAACGAGATCAACACCCTTCTGATGGTCAAGCCTGCCAATGAACCTAATCAGAGGAACATTCTCTCGAAGAGGAAGACCAAGCTCCCTTTGTAGAGCTGCTTTGCATTGAGGCTTGCCAGTCTGAAGAGTCTCCGCAGAGTAATTGGTGTAGCCATCCGATGCCAGGTAAACATCTAACTGTGGGTTCCCTTCGTTTGCATCAATCTCATTCACGATGCCCTTCAGCTTCCAATCACACTCATTTATTATTTGGTGCAGACCCCAACCACCTTCTTTAGTTTTCAGCTCCCAGGCGTAACCATGGCTTACAGTGACTCCACGATCTGCTGCTTTCAGGCTAGCTACAAGGACATTGAAGTGTTCCCCACCTCCTGGGTCATGTAGTTTGAAGTAGTTTTGTGGAAGATCCACATAACGAAATCCGCGTACTGGACCACGACCCCGGTGTGCTATGTTGTGGATCACAGGAACGCACCGGGTATACTTACAGAAGAGAACCTCAAGAGCAGCCTTACCAAAGAGAACCATGCGTTTTAAAAGTTACCTCCCTATCCTACCCATCCACCTTATATCTCTTGCACACTCCTGTTTCTTGGGCTTCTGCATAGTTACCATACCGTGGTGCCACAACCATAACTCTATGTCCACGCTGAGCCAAAGCCTTCGGTAAAGCCCCAGCAACATCGCCAAGCCCACCTGTCTTCGACAAAGGAGTGCATTCTGCAGGTACCAATATAATGTTCGTGACATTGTCCTTGGCCAAAGGAGGAGACCTTACAGTTTCATCCTCCGTGCACTGATCCTTGGGAATAACTGCGGCTGTAGGGGCAGCGATCTGCTGTTCGCTGGATGCCTCTGCCCAGTCCGGACGGCGACTATTTGTGTTGGCGATTCCCTCAGAACTCCTTTGTTGGAGAGGAATGCTTCCAGGCGGCGTCGCAACTCCCAGACATCTTCCTTGACTTCACGAACCTCCATGCTGGTTTCTGCTAGCCTATGTTCCAGTTCATTGACCTTGGATGATAGCTGCTCCATATCGCCCGTGACGTTTGGCTCTGATACCAAACGTTATGGGCCCGCGCATAGGATCTCGTTACGGGTCGGTCCACGGGGAGAAAGCCCTGCTTTCCCTTGCGCCTTCCCTTGCGTGCAGACCCTATTGCAGAAACTGAATGGGTGATTTGTCCAAGAGACCACTCGAACTCTTCGAATGGGTGATTTGT